GATGCGCAAAGCTTAAGGATTTACTATGGGAATAGTATTCTATTCTACAAATTAGAATTTCATCTATACAAAATTATGGCAAACATCCTTATGTATCCGAACTCGTATCTAGAATTTTTAAAACAATGATAGTAGTAATCATTTAACCAATACGATTATATAAGCTAATAGTATAAGAAAATATAACTAAGAATTGTTTGATTGGTAAAGACAATCATCATTACATGCTAATTCAAGTAACTGTGTGTAACATTGATTACCAACGACGCAACCTTAATAGAAATTATTCGTATTTCACGTAATTACAAACACATATTAAATACTTCGCTAGAATATACTTTATTTCATACTTGATGAAATCGACTGTACGCTTCGGTAAATGATAAAATGCTTATAGATATCTTATTACGCCAATAAGTTGTGGTCTACACGTATATCTCTCGAATAATTGTTCCACGTGGTCGTTTCGTATCTGCTTAAAATTATTAGAAATTTGGATGACAATAGTATAAGCTCCGTCCACGCATCATCGGCGCCAATACTTCGTGGTCTTAAGGAACTGTATGAAAATTGAATTAGCTAACTATAAAATCTAGATGTTACCTTCATTTATTAACTTGTTCAATATTGAAATCTATACTGTAATATGTATCTAGCACTCATCAAACCTATTTTAAATATAAAGTTGCTATAGCTTAGTAAATTCTAATACTATCAGTACCTATACTTATAAATCTAAGGTAAATAAGCATGCTTAACTTGCCAAATTTTTACTGAATTTTTTAGCTATATAAACCGAAATAATCTGGGAGATGAGGAATATGTGAAGTTGTTAACCTTAACTCCTAACCTGAAGATATTGTTAGTGAAAGATAATTAATAAGAATACAGATACATTTAAATTTACAAGTTAAACACTTTAAAATAATACTGCCATGCGTAAAAGTAACTTTATTTAGCCGTATTTCTACATTATGTATATTAAATTTCAAGACATCGCCGTACTTGATACGGTAATTCTTGGGTACATAAAATTCATAATATGTAGTTTATTAATAAAACTCCTTTAATGTGTCCTTAATAAGTGAAGCAACATGCATTAAAGATACTCAAAAGCTGGTTAAAAATTAAAATTTTTATCGATGCTTTAATTTAATTATAGGTTCCTAAGCAATAATAACCTTTCTGAAATCTGTCCAAAATTCCAGTCTTCAATTGCCTTTTCAAACATAATAATTCTGTTCGTATCTAAATTCGTATACCTTATAGAGAAAGCTATAAGCTTCTGTTAGCCTCCTTTCTTTATCCAAACTTGATAAAAATTAACAAATTTCAAAAAGGAGCATCGATCACAGTAGAACTTATCCATAATATTTTACCAACAAATAAAATTCTATATGCTGAGAAATGCGTATATTACACCCTTAGATAAAACAGTAGAATTTTCCATTCTAAAATCTTTATAATTCATGAATGATCTTAAAGACTTATGTGACTTTAAAATTTTACTATCGGTTAGAGTGTACATGCTTATTGAGTAATAGTAGCCGTTTTATAGCTACCACACTATAAATTATCTAGAAATGTACTGATGATGATTTGTTAACGACTTCTAACATATTTTTATTTATAGCTTATAATATCCATTTGCAATAAGATATACTAGGCCTAGAACTCACAATATCCCTTTCTCTAAATTAACTCTAGAGATTTAATTAAAGATCGTTAGGCCTATCCAACAGTAACACAATACTACTAACAGCCAATGATAGGTTTTGAATTAGCAATTTATTAACTCTTTCCAAGTCTTGATATCCGAGACCGTATACGATTTGCCTGACATTAATTATAAATGAGTATTTGTTATAATCAATTTCAATCTGTCTCAGATTTAAAAAATATTAACTATTGAACTACGAAGCTTAACATATTAACAACTGAATAGATACATACTTCTTCAATATCATCTTATACTAATAACCAATGTCTACGCAGCATATCACAGTATAAATTAGCTAGATTTTTAACAAAGTTTGACGTCAGTTTAGCCTAGAAGAGATATGTAGTTTACTGGGACCTCTTAGTAAAAGAGATTGGCATTATACTGACTTATACTGCAGGTTGATATCGTAGAGTACTAGCCTAACAGTAGGTTCCTAGCGTGGAAATTTTTGTAGTAGCTTTTATTTTTCTCATTACGAATATCAGCTTGTAACTACTAGTATCTTTTTTTCTTTGTCAGTATATGAAATTGTTTAATTTCATGCTTAATTAATGGTTCATTTCGATCAGTTATTAATTAAATCGTAATATTTTATCGACGAAGCGAGTAAACAAGGCTTCGATGGTATTTGCTGTAGTAGCCAACATCTAAATTAAAAACTTTATGTGTAGTAATCAGTTCGCATAATCATAATTTACGTATAAAAAAATATCTTAAATTTATTCAGTGCATTTATTCACTGACTTATTTTGATAATTTGCTGTCATACAAATGAAATTTTCGTTTCGTAATGCACATGATATATATTTCTAGAAGTAAATAGAGTGTGGTAGTATATTACAATATGTATAGTTCAGGAAGATGACTATCTTAATTTAAAGTTATATTAGATTTTTAAAATGCTTGATTTATTATAATTATTACCGGTAACGCCTGTGAAATATCTCAAAGAAACATTCTATTAAACATGAAATAGTAATTAAATTTTAAAATTAATAGAAATCTCAATGGCAATAACGTCGAAAAATTAGATAGCTATTGCTTTTGGAATATGCCTGAACTCAATAGCCTGTAAGTCAAATTTTACAATTTGTAGTAACTAATTCTAGTAATGCAGTAACTGAAATTGACGTTCGGTCTCAGATGATAATTTAAAATTTAGCATCAGAAATAAAGAAATTTCGGATGCCTGCAATATCTAAAATATAGCTGATAATTGAAATGGTTTTCTCAATTTATATTTTACGTATAATTATTTGCAGGTTTTTGATAGATAATCCTATAATAACTTTTAATGACCGTTCTTTTGGTGGTATAGAAGGCTTTCGAAGTTTGTAAGTACGCACACATGAGTACAGTAATATCTCCTATTCTTACGTAGTTAGATAAGTATGTTCTATAATTAAAACTGAATATTAGTAATTACTTTTACCAACATATGTACGGTTGCTTTTTCGACACTGCGTGACTCTTTTAGCGTAATTTATCACGTTCAGTATACTACATTACGATATACATACCATTGATTGTCTCTGCAATCAAATTAATTCTATTTCGCTAATTCACGTATCCAAAAATTTATTCATAACATTAAGTTAACGATAAGAAAAGGCCTCGGTTTTATTAGGCCGATAAATTTATTGTAATTCTATTGCTTAATATCTAGTTGACATAGCGTACTTCTAAGTGGATAAATGGTTAGATGAAGATTTTAAAACAAAAAGTTGTATACGTACTTTTAACTCAAGGCTACTTAGAATAATAGCAACGGAGTATGGAAAGTAAAAGTTCCCACAGTTTCTTCCTCTAAATGCTACAACGAAACGATTTATAAAGCGATCATGCAGAAATAAATTTTCCTAAATTTAATGTTTCTCTCTACCTACCAGAAGTCCATGCAACAGTTTATACTCGACGTTGAGTTCACAAAATTATTTGTTAAAAGATATTTAGAATCAATACAATTCATTTTATTTCATTTTTTTAATTCATGGCTGTAATAATTATACCTATGTTACGAAGCAAAGCACCGTACATGCTAATTAAATAGATTTTGTTAGTATTTAGCTAATGGATCATATTGGTAATTGATAATTGAAATTAAGAATATTAATATCTAGATTGCTAGACAACAAAGGCATAAATGCATTTTGCAATTAATTAGTAGAGCCTATATAGATATTAATAATGGTGGTACGTTAGCATCCGCTGCGATTATCGTACAAAGCCTCAAGGGTCTAATTGGCTATTAATTCGTTATTGCTAATTAAAGTTGTCTACGTATTTGTATCTATAGTAAACTATATAGTTCATTGAGGCTTGTCCTCCTATACAAATTATGTAAATCTTATATTGTCAAGTTACTATGTGTGCACCAATAATTTAGTGGAAGGGTATAAAAGGAAGAGCGAATGCTCAGTTCCTGAGTTCTTTATTAGATCGTGTACGAGAAGGTACTCGGCTACTCTATTAATAAATACTATACTAATCTTGTAGAACAGTCTTATCCCTGTGTGACCGTAAGTAGTATATAACTACCATACAGTAGAACTCCTGGTGTAGTGGAGCAAGGCATAAGTAATCTATTAGTTTAGTGTAGTAGTTCATAACATAAATTTGTGACAACCTAGTAAAGGTCGAATTAAGCATAAATTAGCCTTGGAACAGCTATCTTCTTCTAATTTGGATTTTTCCTCGTCTATTAACTATAGACATTCGACCCGTGAATATTTGTGTTGCATTGTGCCATCCACAGTGATTGTGTGTAGACCAAATCCGAATCAATTTAGCTTATCTACATGCTATGATATTCTATCGCATGATTTATTGCGAATATTTATCTGGGTAATTGGTATAATTTCAGTCGTTGGTAACATGATTTCTATAAGGTGGCATTCTCAAAAAAAATCTTCTAAAATACTTGGAATAGTAGAAATACTATTAATTAACTTAT